GTTCTACATCCTACTTTGGTGAGTAGCATCTGGGGTCTTAAAAGCTTGTGAGTGGCCATCTAAGATATGTCTGCTGGTTCCACCCCGTCTGGAGCAAAAGAGAATGAAGAAAACCAAAGACGCAAGGGAACGATTAGTCCAAAGGACTAATGGACCACAGATACCACAGCTCCACCAGACTGAGTCCAGCACAACTAGATGGTTCCCAACTATCACCACTGACTGCTCTTACAGGGATCACAATAGAGAATCCCAGACAGAGTGGGAGAAAAATGTTGAACAAAATTCTAACTAAAAAAAAAAAAGACCAGACTTACTGTTTGACAGAGACTGGAGAAACCCCAAGAGTGTGGCCCCCAGACAGCCTTTTAACTCAGTACTGAAGTCACTCCTGAGGTTCACCCTTCAGCCAAAGATTAGGTAGGCCCATAAAACAAACAGTAACACACTAGTTCAACCATGAATATGAGACTAAATGGGCACACCAGCCCAGGGGCAAGGACAAGAAGGCAGGACGGGATAGGCAAGTTTGACAAACAGAAATGGGGAACCCAAAGCTGAGAAGGGGAGAGTGTTCACATGTCTTGGGGTTGGTAATCAATGTCACAAAACAATATGTGTATTAATCGTTTAATGAGAAACTAATTTGCTCTGTAAACTTTCACCTAAAGCACAATGAAAATAATAATAAAAAAGCAAATATTATTCTGATTCAAAAACCAGACAAAGATATCATAGTAAAAGTACAGATCAATATCCCTCATGAACACAGACAACAAAATCCTTAACAAAATATGAGCAGATCAAATTCAACAATGTATTTAAAAGGATAATATATCATGACCAACTGGGGTTTATCCCAGGAATGCAATGTTGGTTTAATATTAACAAAAGAATGAATTCAATTCGTCACATTAACAGAATAAAGGAGAAAAAAACAAGATCATCTTAATAGATGCATTAAAAAAAATTCAGTGATGGTATCTGTCATGGATTGAATTGTGTCCCCCAAAAATATCTGTCAGCTTGGCTGGGTCATGATTCCCGGTATTGTATGATTGTGTACCATTTTGTAATCTGATGTGATTTCCTTATGTGTTGTAAACTCTATCACTATGATGTAATAAGATGGATTAGCAGCAGTTATACTGATTAGGTCTACAAGATTAGATAGTGTGTTAAGATATAAAAGAAAGAAGCGAGCAGAGATACAGGGGAACTTCATACCACCAAGAAAGCAGTGCCGGGAGCAGAGTGTGTACTTTGGACCTTGAGATTCCTGCACTGAAATGCTTCCAGACCAAGGGAAGACTGAAGACAAGGACCTTCCTCTGGAGCTGACAAACAGAGAAGGCCTTTCCCTGGAGCCGATGCCCTAAATTCAGACTTGTAGCCTACTAGACTGTGAGAGAATAAATTTCTCTTTGTTAAAGCCAACCACTTGTGGTATCTCTGTTATAGCAGTACTAGGTGACTAAGACAGTATCCAAATCCATTCATAATAAACATCTTCAACAAACTATAAATAAACAGGAACTTCCTTAACATGAGAAAGAGCATTTATGAAAAAGCTACCATCATAATTAAGGGCAAAAAAGATGAATACTTTCCTCCTAAGATTAGAAAAAATGAAAAAATGTCCACATTCACCACTTTTATTTAACTTATACTGGAGGTCCTAGCCTGTGCATTAATGCAAGAAAAAGATATAAAATAAAAGACATGCAGATTAGAAAGGAAGTTGTATACACAAAAAATCTTATGGCTATATACACGCAAATCCTAATAAAAGTACAAAACAGCTACTAGAAATAATTAGTGAATTTAACAAGGTCACATGATACAAGGCCAATATAAAAATGAATTGTATATCTATATAACAGTGAAAAATTGGAAAATAAAATAAAAAATACCATTTACATTAGAATCTAAAATTTAAATATTAAGAGATAAATTTTAAAATAATATCAAGGACTGTACATCAAAAACTACAAAAATCCCTGAAAAAATTTAAAGAAAATCTGAATAAATGGAGAGACATAATATGTTCATGGACTGAAAGACTCAATAATGTTAAGATGTCAACTCTCTAATTCTCCTCAAATTAATCTATAGATGCAATCCAAATCTAAATCCCAGCATTTGTATTCGTAGAATTTGAAAAGCTGATTTTTCAACTTATAGTAAAATTCAAAGGACCTAGAATAGCCAAAACTTTGTTAAAGAACTTATACAATGTGATTTCAAGATTTATACATAAAGTAATCAAACCAATATGGTATAATAATAAATGTATATATCAATGAAACAGAATGAAGATTCCAGATATAAATTCATACATATACCTTCAATGGATTTTTTTTATAAAGATGCCAAGGTAATTCCATAGAAAATGCATTATCTTTTCAATAAAAGGTGCTGGAACAATTGGACAACAATATGTAAAAAATGAACCTCAACTCTTACATCACTCCATACACAAAAGTTAACTACAAATGGATCAGAGACCTAAACGTAAAACTAGAAAGTTTCTTAAAAAAAAATTTAATCTTTGTAATTTTTTTGTGTACCATTGAGTCGATTCCGACTCGTAGTTACCCTATATGGCAGAGAACTTCCTCATGAAGTTTCCTAGGCTAGCACACAACAACAATCTAGGCGGCAAGGGCTGAAGACGGTGCCTCCCGGCCAAGTGACTGTGGCTGTAGGAAGCAGAGAAGGCTGAGTAGGGGGTGAAGAAGGGTAGGAGGTGGGAAAGCGTATATCGCTGGTTACCGGTTGTTCTCTCTACTCCTGGGAGCTCTGTGAAGTTGCTTTCCCATACTCCCTGTTTTCCAGTCTCCGACAGGAGTCCAAGATGGCAAATCTGTGCTGTGTTAGCTGATAGGGGACCTCTGCAAGTATCTCTCCTCACCCTCTGTTCTCTGTTAGTTTCTTATTCCATTTTGTGCTTGGCTGAGTTCTTTATCTCTTCAGTTGATGTTTAGGGTTTCAGGATTGACGTTTGTCTCTGTTTGACTTAGTTTTTCAGGTCTTTGTTGTGGAGGGATGGCGTGGTGCTTCTGTCTATAGCGCCATGTTGCCCGGAAGTCTCAGGCAGAAGTATTTTTGAAGCTAGTCTCTGAAGTTCTCCTCTCAGGAGAACTCTTCTTAGCTGTCTCTTTCCCTGTTACTCTGGTAAACTAGCTGGCTAATGGTTTAGCTTACTGCTCTCAATTAAGAGGAGTTATTGTTTTTGAGCGCAGTCTTATGCTTGAACTTCCCCACATTTTGTTTCAAATAAAGTCTTTTCCATTGGGAAGAACTTTGGAGCTCTCTTTTCTTATGTACGGCCTCCCCCCATGGGAAAAAACTTTGATCAACTACTCTTGCTGTTGATTGGGTTGGTGACCTCTGGTATTCTCAGCTTGTCTCCCCCAGCATGGAACCTCTGCCATACAAGTGAGCTGGAATGACGACAGTCAGGGCCCCAGTATTCTCTACTTACCATGTCTTGGGTAGAGCCTCCATTGTGTGACTATAAGCTGGCTGGAAAAAAGGAGCCTCCAACCTCTCAGCCACATTCACCAAAAATTTAGCCTCTTCAACTTGGAGTTGGAATGGAAGAGAAATGCTAATGATCTGCCCCTCCTCATGAGATATGGTCACCCTTGATTTGGATCTGAGATGACAAGGAGCCCCATATTCTTGACCACACCTGTCTGGGGTAGAACTTCCATTAAACTAAGCTGTGGTAGGGTGGGAGGCGAAGAGGTAGCGGCTCATGGATCAAATGTGTCAGACTCTCGTTGTTCAGTAGGTGTTTTTAAATATATATTTCTTTATTTGCTGTATGCCTTTAGGACAATTTACAGATAATTTATAGGTTTTTTTTTTTTAATTGTTTTTTGCCAGCTTTGTTTATTTCATTGAGGGATAGGTCCACAGAACTCCTCATACTGCCATCTCAGAATTGGAATTGAGTCTTCATAAACTTCTGATTTTGCTATTTTTATTATTATGTGAGCATTTCAATCATTTTTTAAAACGGAAGCCCTGAGCAATATGATGCTGGATTCGTTCTTTTAAATAAAAATAAACACAAACAAACTCATTTTTTTTTGCTTAATAAATAAATCCAAGACAAAGGACATGTTGCTAAAAATAACCAATAAAAATTAAATTTGGTTTTAGAAAAATAATTATACAGTAAAATCTGTGAAAGCTGGAATCTGTGTACAGTGGAAGCCTGTCACAGAAAGAAAATTCAAATATTTTCCATGAAAATGAGCAATAGAAAAGTGGTAAGACTGTACCATGTCAAATGCAGAAAACTTGTGAGACCTGGAAAAACAAGGCAGTCCCATCAAGTTCCAGCTTTCAGAGTTTTCACTGTAATTTACAGCTTAATTTGTGGCTTGTTAAAATGTGAACCCATTTCACACCAATAAAATCTTTCAATAATACATATCCTAATTCTGGATGTATTAGGCCCCAGTCAGTTTGGAGAAAGACTTTACACATAATGATATCTGGAAAATTGTTTATCAGAAAAAAGAGACTATGTCAATAATACATGATAAGGTTAAATTCCTATATGATCTTGTGCTACAGTCTGAATTGAAGTTTAAAGAGTGAAAGCAAGAAATAAAGTAGATAAGTTTCAAACTCGCTAACAGGAGGCATCCATGTTCCATCAGAAATATTATTCCCTCCGTTAGACTTCCTTACTCAAATATATATTGGAGATTAACAATACAAGCACTAGTTCTCAATTTATACATGTCAGAGACAAAGAGAATGGGCTGTAAGGGTCAGCCATTAAATGTTCAAACTATATTAACTACAGGAATGTCTAATATTAGATTTAGATGACTCTTTGATTTTCTCTAAATTCTGTTTATGTGTCCTCCAATTATTTCTGGGGGCAGACACACACTTGTAAAAACATTTACTCTGGTGAAAATAACATTTTTTATTTTGTTTTTTGTAATTGTTTTTTGAAACAATGAAGTTATTACCATGTGTCAGCATTTGTTTGGGCAACCAGAAGAGAATGAAGGAATGAACCAAGGCATTCATACATTCAATCCAGAATACCTAAAAGAAAATAAACCAAGAACGTCAAGGTGGTACCACAATACCTTGACCTTGGTCTAACTCTAAAAGTATGTGACATTGTAAAGTATACTTGCTGTGTGTAACAGATTACAAAGCTAAAATATTATTCATGAAAACTGAAAAAATTTCATTTCTTCATTCAGCTTTGAAAAGAAATGACTGAAATTATAGTATAATATTATTTGTGAAACAAATTTATTAAATATAAAAGTATAAAACTCAAGTGCAATATATTTGTTATAAAAATCATAAAAG